AGAAAAACCTGTTGAGAATACCTGTAGGTTTTTTTCTCCATTTTATTGACTGCCTTATTTACTTTTAGTTTGATTCATTCAGTTGTTCCCAGTAATATTTTCCTGCCTTCATTACTAATTCTGTCACCTTGTAATCCTATCCTTGAGAACAGGTCTTACAGTTCTCAGTAGGGTTTATTTTCTGAAAAATATGAGATTCGGCTTACAATATAGCTTCCAATTTTTACAACGGTAGCTGCATTTCTATTTCTAACCAGATTTCTATTTTTCCCCTTTTATCTATCCATCCATCATCTATCTATCTATCTATCTATCTATCTATCTATCTATCTATCTATCTATCTATCTATCTATCTATCTATCTATCTATCTATCTATCTATCTATCTTGCCAAGGAAATTGCAGAGACTAATCCAGGCAATCGCCAGGAGTCAATAATAACTTGAAGAAGTGTGGTCTGTGTGTGCGTGTGCCTGTCTCTGTGTGTACAGAAATGCAGGGATCCAAAACATATAAATGCATCCATGCATACAGAGGAAGAGTCCATTTTCACCCTTCCTCTTGCTAATCCTGGTTATGTGTTTTTGTTTTCGTCTCATTCTTCTCTGGATGTTTCCACTGTGATGTAATCTTTCACTAGACTGGCAACCCTCGATAAGCAACTGTTTGCAATAACTATTAATATTTCAACATGCTTTTAAGAAAATTTAGCCTTTTGTAGCGCAGGTCTTTGGCAGACTTACATGCTGTTTACTAAGAGATAGTGTAAGCTTAGGTGTTCCGTTGGTGTGCTCTGTTATTTAGAAATACTTTCTTAACATCCAGTTGTTCCTTACAGGCTTTACATGAACCAATCTGAAAAGAAATCTTTTTTTTAAATAAAAGAATACATTTAGAACAAAAAGAAAAACTCTAAATTCTTGTATAGACAATATATCTGGAGTTATTCCCCTTTAGAATCTTCTTCTTGATTTTTGAGCTCTGCAGGGAGTATTGACAGGACAAACACCGCCCAAGAATCATATTCTTTGTTTTGTTGCTCTTGAAAGGATGATTATGATTCAAAATGTAGCCATTTAATCTTTGAAAATTAATTGACAGGAGAGGAAGGAAGTTTCCCATTTACCTGCATGCCACAAAAACCTCTTCACTTCTGGCTTTGCTTAGATTACATTTCTAACATAGTCTTTGTATGGAGAAATCTTTGGTTATTCCTAAACATAAAGGAAGCATCTTTCTGTGCATGCCAGGGAGTGACTGTACACTACAAGTGTTATCTTTCTTGACTAAAAATAAGATTTTTATAGTCCTACAAAAGAGAACTTGCAGTATATTAATAGCAATCTATAAATTAATCTCTGTGCAACATCTTGCTAAGACTTTGATTTTTAGAGAGTCCCTGAACTCAAGGCTTTGCTGACTATTCTTCTGTTATTGTGTTCATTAAGGGAATATGGCAGGTCAGGAGCAAATATCGGCACACCTTATAAAGCACCAGAGTGAATTAGGTGGGCAGTTGATGCTGTATTGTTTTCTCTAATCAGAAATATAGCTGTATGGTGTTTGATTAATCTTCCTGATCAGCCAGTGAACTGGCTGTTAATAGCATGCCGAGCAATGCATTTTAAACCACTTATGAGATTAATTGAATTAATGTTTTAATTATTTGAAGGGTATTATATATAGAGAGAGATATGCATATAGATGTATCGATGTATATGTCATTGCTACACACTTTGCAAGCATTCAGCCCCTGCAAGCATTTATCACATTTGTTGGAAGAGAAGTGCAAGTAGATAAGTTGAGGAGTGATGGAGAACTGGAATCCACTTACGACCGTTTCATGGATCATTAACAAATAGTGTAAATTAAAAAAGAAGGCGTCTTAGACAATTAAACTCCATTGTGTTTTTTTAAAGGACGTTTATGTCTTAGTCTCTAAACTGGTATCACTTATTTGGATTGGAAATCTCTGAATCTTCTAAGGCAAGGGTAGGCAACCTTGGCTCTTTGATGACTCGTGGACTTCAACTCCCAGAATTCCTGAGCCAGCCATGCTGAGGGGAAAGGGAGAGTTTTCAAGCTGAGCCATGCTGGCTCAGGAATGCTGGGAGTTGAAGTCCACGAGTCATAAAAGAGCCAAGGTTGCCTACCCCTGTTCTAAGGGATGTCTTTTAAATCGGCTTTTCCTAAACTGGGATCTTTCTGGGGAAAGTAGGAAGTGCAGGTGAACACCTCTGAAGACACCATCCCTGGAGATGAACAGAGTGTATGAATACACAGTAGGAAAGGAAGTAGAAAGGAAGGACAGCTGTCTGAATAATTTTCTAAACCTAAGGGAAGGTATGGAAGCAAAATGGCACCTCTCTCCTTAATCCAGCACATGGTAGCCTGTCGGTCTGACCGTTGATGTTACTCCCAAAAGTGCTTTCTATCAGGCCTGAACTAATAGTTTAATATAAACTCGTCAAGTCAGGTTGTGCACTAGCACAGAGGTCCCCAACCTTTGGGGCACCAGGGACCAGTTCAGTGGAAATAGGTTTTTCCGTGGACCGGAGAGTGCGTGCTGTACTGCCTGCATTTCACGGATGGGGCTTTGCTTGTTTGCGCAGACCGGTTGCTGATATGCCGTGGCCTGGCCCTGGTCCATGGACCGGGGTTTGGGGACCCCTACATGAGCAGATAGAATCGGAGAAAGAAGAGATTCAGGAGAAGCATGTTGAGGATGGGGGGTGCGGTTGCTATAGATAGTCCTTTACAACCATTCCGTCCCCCCCCCACCTCTCCCCACACACAGGCAAGACACCAGAATATAAACTGACAGCAAACAGCACTCCTCACTCACACTGATTATATTGCCTATTTAGGGTAATGAAAGGTCTGCAAGAAAACAAGCAAGCTTAGAGAGCACCAAGGACCCCTCATTTCAACCCTGAGCTATGAATATTCTCCTTCATTGGTTACAACCATTGAGTGGTTTGGAGAGTTGTAATCCCAACACACTTGGACAAAAATTAGCAGAATAACAGAGTTGGAAGAAACACTGGGAGTCTTCCAGTCCAACCCCCTGCTCAAGCAGGAAACCCTATGTCATTTCAAACAAATGGTTGTCCAATCACTTCTTAAAAGCCTCCAGGGTTGAAGGCTTCTGGAGGCAAGCCATTCCCCTGATTAATTGTTCTGTCAGGAAATTCCTCCTTAGTTCTAGGTTGCTTCTCTCCTTGATTAGTTTCCATCCGTTCTTGTTCTGCTTTGGAGAATAGGTTGACCCCCTCTTCTTTGTGGCAGTCCCTTAGTTGGTCTCCACTGAGACCAAAGGCTTGGGATAGATCTTTTCGGTACTATGATTCTATGATGTCCTGTTGGAGGAAGCTGAATTAATTGTCCTTTTCTCCTCTACATTTTGACATAGTTCTCATGTTCATTGCCAGCGTTTTAAAGGCCAGGATTCTTAGTTTACTGCAGAGATTTATTTGGATGAACTGAAGTCACTTCTCTACAGACATGAGTTGGACCACCCGAGCTATGAGGCTTGGAGAGAGTGGTCACAGTCTTTTTCTAGGTCTGCAATACTCTGCATTCTTCATGCCATTTTTTAAAAACTGGGTCACTACTTGTCCTTTCTGTTCGTGCAGTGTGCTAAGCCTACTATTTTGGGAAAAGCAAACTGGAGAACGAAAGGACGAACTCACCCTGGTAGTCACTTGTATTCACAGTCTTAATGAAAATCAGGGCCATTATGAGTCACACTTTCCTTTGTCTGCTTTTGCTGTGTCTTGGGTGATTTCACTCTCATTTGGGGGCATTGATTAGAAGGTCCCGAGATCCTGTTTTTGTACTGCTTAATTGCTGTGCGGAAGTGTGGATTCTGAAGTGAGACTCTTATAATTAATTGCTAGGCTTTCTAGACTAATCACAGAACCTAGATAATGCTTCAATGCAGGTTTGGGAGTTCAGAGACCCCACTTCAAATCTCCATTGAATTACCGGGAAGGGGAAAGACATTTATTCAGAGTCAAGTAAAACAGTTGATTTGGACTTGTAACATACATACATACATACATACATACATACACATACATACATACATACACATACATACATACATATAATCATGCAATGTTTTTACTTAACAAAATGGGGGCTTAAAAGATTTTAATAAATAAATCACAAGTACAGAAGAAATGTGTATGGAAAATGCAAAAAAAAATCCCATACTGGACTAAAAGATAATATCCAAAAGCACATCTTATTAAAATCAGTATAAACTCTTCCATTCCCCCACAAGTTGGTTAGAATGGAAGAAGCTTCTTGGGTGAGAAGTGAAATGTTTTCAAGGAAAAGAAACAAGAAAATCCAGTCGCCTTTTGGAAAAGTAGCTTTGGGACAACCATGACCTGGATGATTGAGAATCTCCATAGTCATCTCATTAGAACATAGGGCTGGATGGGGATCTCAGAGGTTATCTAGTCCAACTCTCTGCTCAAGGTAGAAGACCTTATGTTTGCCAAAATTGCCTATATTATGCAAAGTTGAGGGTTTTTTTTAAAAAAAAATACCTTTACAGAAAGATGCATAGAATACATACCCATTTTTCTGTCGATTTGTTTTAACATAAATCAGGGTTAAATAATTTGAAATTTAGGAAAATGAGAAAACAGGTGGAATTGAAATTAATTATTGCCTTCACTCAGTGCTCAGTGTTCTGCATCGGGCCTGGTGTGTGATAAAGTAGGAATCAAAAATTTTTTATATATTGTTTTGCTTTGTTTTATTTTATAGTGACATGGTTCCACAATGGGAGAAAAGGGGAAGTAAAATTGCATCATACAGAAAAAAAAAATCACCAGAATCCTACACTCTTAATTCCACCTTTTAAAGAAGAGGAACACAAAACAAACAAAAAAATAATTTCCACTCCGTTTGTCTGGTCAAATGTAAAGTTTATTGTACATTATGTTTTCTTTTGAGCTTCAAAAAAATTCCATACTGAAAGGCTGGATAAATTCATAATTTTAGCTGATACATTGTTTATTGGTTTTTAATCAGTTAACTGGACCATTTAAGAGACTCTATTGCAATAATAATAATAATTATTATTATTATTATTTTAATTCTGAGGACTGAGAAGGCAATGAACATTTTCTCTGAAGCATGAGATTTCAGTTTACTGACTATGATCTCCTAGATCCTGTACTGAACAGAAAGTTGGACTAGATGACTTCTAGCGTCCCTTCCAACTTTATTATTCTATGATCCTCTCCACTTTCTCAAAATGGCCTGTGTTTCCCAGCCTATTTACTCCTTCTGTAAGTTTGCTGACAAGTATAAAACCTCAATATACCATAACTTTTCAACTGAGTCACCATGGAGTTGCCAATTGTGGGGAGGTTAAATGAGGAGGAGATAGTTGGGCTGACCAGAAGGCACATGTTTTGCTGGGAAGTTTTTATCAAGGTCTCTGCTTTTGCTGATTTTCACTGCCTGTTCAAAAATAGCTCCCTCAGTTATCACTGGGGTGGACAGTCATGTGCTATAATAATCAACATTTTTAAAATTAAAACAAAACAAAAACCCACAGGCCAACATTGGCTCAGCCTTGCATTGTAAGCAGTTAGCACTAGAAAAGAAAATGGGTAAACATGAGTAGGCTGCCTGGACAAGTAGGTATGGAATTGATTCTGACTGCCATCAATTCTATTCCTTGACAGACGAGACAAGCCACCCCCAATGTTTTAGTTACTTAAATGTATTTACTGTCTCCCACCCGTTGCTTTTCTTGGGGAGTGAAGGATAGTTAAGAACAGCTAAGGCTCTTCCAGAGGGAATAAAGATGAGAGAATACTTTCTAATACTTCTGTCATCCTAATGGGATGAGTTATTGTGCAGGATTGGCCGTTGTGCTGACCTCCTCTAAAATTCATATTTACTCGTCTATCTGGGGGTCGTGCTGGCAGCTGGAACTATGATATCACTCGGTTTCCTTCATCTTTCAAGGGAGCCACAAAAGCAGATCCAACTTTGCTCCTTTCTCATTGATGTACATAAGAGGTTTCATTGAAGCTAAACTAGTAAATCAAAAGGAAATCTCTAGACTACAGGTTATCACTCAGTGGATTGCCAGTCAAACAGTATTTCGAGATCAAAGACATCAAGAGGATGAAAAAGCAAGGGAAGGAGAGAAGCCTACGAAGTCCAAGCCAGACAAGTGATACAGGAGAACCTTGTAGGGTAGTCCAAAGAAGAAGCACACATAGAAGTATTCATTCTGATTTTATTGCAAGGTTACATTAAAAGAACTTGAAAGTGCATCTTCCCTCCTGACCCACTTTTACTGTCTAAGAGACTAGGGAGGGCCCCTCCTGAGATGTTTACCACACCCACATTCCTTCTGAGGACTTAGCTTCCTCTTATATCACCATCAACTAAATGGTGGCTCTTTGTCAGGCACAAAGGATCAGGATCATAGCTTGAGTTGTAGCTCAGAAAGATGTATTGCTGACACCCATGCATAAGAATTTGATCGACTAACATTCAGCACTAAACTGGTGTTGGATCTCTTGTGGCAATGTTAGGATTCTAAACTGATGAGGCATTTAACTCCACCCTCCAGCTCTGCCTGCTCTTCTACATTCTTCCACCCATGAGAGAGAGAGAGAGAGAGAGAGAGAGAGAGAGTGATCAGCCAAGATCACCCAACTGGCTTTCATGGCTATGTAACTTCTGTAATGAAAGTTTCACATTTTAACCTAGCCAAAGTAATTGGGGAGCCTCATAAGATTTCTGCAATTTTGTGTATTGCGTTAGGATACAGAGTAGTGGGATAGCTTTGTCAATCAATTCTTCCTTTTTTTTAAGTGATCTATACAAATGTTTCAGTGTCACAACGACCTGGGTGCAAAACGAACCACGATCTATTTATTCCTTCCTTACACAATGGTTTCCAATCTCTTGTTTTCTTTTCTCTTTGTATTAGGAGACACACCTGTAGCTTTTCCGCTTCTCTAGTGTATAAAACAATAAGCCATTCAGCGCTAAAGATTTTTCATCAGCAAATCAGGCTGTCACCTCCTTCAGGTTTTATCCTGGCTGTTAATCTGCTAAATATTCAGGCCAAAGGTAAGGAAGGGAATCATTTGAAAGGCTTTGGACTCCTTCATTTTCACAGTGGGTTCTTCCAAAGTTTTTCCCCCTGGAGTTTCCTTAATCTTGGCAAGGTGAGATAATTGAACCTTCGGAGAGATTTTGCCTTTCATAGTCCATCTAGGCATCCAGATGGCCGGCATTAAAGCCCTCACTTTAATCAAAACACAGGAAAACATTTCAATCTTGATTGCATTTTTTTCTATGCTGTTTATAAATCCAGGGGTCCATCTCGCATTGTTTTTGTGCACTTCTATAAGAAAAGAAGAAGGATAAAGCAGAATCAGTTTAATATGGGACATGATTCTTTTCTCCCCAAACAATAGCATTGAGGTGTGGAAGCCTGCAAAATGAGTGAAGTGGTGTCATCAATCTGGCTTTTTATTTTTTTAAAATAAGCCTTTCAATTTTTATATATTCCCTATCTCAAAATAATTGAAGTCAAGCTATTTGGGGTGGGAAACTTGATGTGCTGTTAAAAATTATGGCCATTTGTAAAGTTGACATGAGATTCTTCAAACAGCAACTGGGGGTAGACGTTTACAGTTTCTAAGTCAATTGTCAGCATAGCCCCAAAAATAATAATAATACAAACCTGAAATTAAGTGGAACTGGAGAGCCAGACTTTAGTAATTGATTGTTATTTGCAATTAATGTCCAGTACTTTCTTCTAAAATGAAAGAATAAACAAGTTGTATTTTTTTTAATAAAGTCCATTGTAACTAGTCAAACATCATGAGTTACCTTGATACTTTTTCATGGCACTATCATAGGCTTTTAATTTGCCAACTGTAATCTTCTTAATGGATGTGGATTAATTGCCAATTCTGCCCCCATCACAAGATCCTGATGTATAACATTTTTACTTGATGTTGTTTGAGTAGTGGTAATTTTTAAGTGGAAGCTGTGCTTGAGCTGGCAGTTTTGCTAAGGATTTGCTGAAATGGAGCATGGATCTTCCTCACAGTTTATAGGTCTCTGGTTATGTCAGATCAGTTTGTTCTCCAGACCAGCTTCTTGGGCCCTAGGAAGCTTGATAATATTGGGATAGCTTTTTAGATGAAATGACAGCTGATTGATTGCTGTTGTTGTTGAATATATTGTATTATTCTTAACCTAAGCTTCACTGTTAGATTTGGAAATTTGTTCAGGGAGAAGATTGTGCCATACTGAAAAAAATAAAAAGCCTGCTTCCTCTCCCTCACAAGTTTTCATGCAGTTTGGTGAAACAGAATTTGCTTTTGAAATTTATTTCAAAAAAATATGTGAACGTGGATGAAATTTCCTTCGGGAAATTTAATGTTCTTATTTATAAGGTGGAAGAGAGAGAAATTGCTTGTAATATTATTCCAATATCATTAATCTCAGGTAATCATCGTTCCCTTTGGTCATATCAGAAATTGCCATTTTACAGCAACTTTAGACCTTGCCGAGGGACCCCTAGTAAGAGAAATAAGAAAGGTTAAGAAATCAAGGACATCTGAAAACCATCTCTCTCTGTGTGTGTGTGTGTGTCAGTGTGTGCTGCTTTTGTTGGAAAGGCAAGCAACACCTCTAACTTGCTCCTTGCCAATCTCCTGCAACTTCCCTGCTGCTGAAGTTTATTGCACATTGTATATTTTTCAGTATAATTCATTTGTCCCAGACTGTTCTTGTCACATCAGCTGCATTTTACCTAAACACCGCTGTCCAAGAATGTGTTCCTTCTTTCAAAACAAACAAGACATTGATTTCACCCAACTCTCCAATGTGTTGTTATGTCATGTTCTTCAACATTTGCCTGATGAAATTATCTGCTTTGGTTATACAAAAGGGCAAATCCTTCAGAGTCAGCATACCGAAGTTGCTTTCTAAAGCTAGTTGTTAGTGTGAGGTCTTTTTGTTGGCATGGCTAATAATTCAGCAATTTCAGGCTTTGGGAATGTATGCTGTCGAGAATTTATATGTGAAAGGAAAGTGCCACATGCTCAAAGAATGCAAGCTTTGAAACAATATTGAAGGGGTAACTACTCAGCACTTAGTAGAGTTGGTCTTTTTTTTTTTTTGAGACCCATAAACACACTTCTGTCTACCACAGGTCAAAATCATTCTCAATGGTTTTGAGGAATCATAATGTATAATCTAAAGTTATTGAAACTTCAGGTTTAATGAAAGAAAAAGTCAGGAAAAGTATTCTGTTTCTGTTCACTTGGTCCACGCCATTCGACCTCTCAATGGCTGCACATTTGCCTCTGCTCTTTGATATAGGACAAATAAAGATTCTTTAAATTATTACCCTAAGATAAATCCCATTTTGCTCAACAGAACTTATTTTCACGATCAAGGTATCCCCTTGCCAGGTAAGTAAGTTTTCGGGAATGAAATGGAGGGGGGGGGGAAACATTTCAAGATGGTATCAGCTACAGCTGTCTTTGATGGGGAGAATATCTGTAATAAAAATGAACATATTGCCAAGAATGTTATTTCTATTTCAAACAGTACTGGTTTTTTGTTTTTGTTTTTTTTTACTTTGGATTAACCCTTCAAACAATGGCACAAAGCAATATGCAAGGGGAAAAAAGTCAAGAGTTAAACTTAAGATCTTATGTGATTCTAAAGAGGGGGAAGATTTAGTCTTGCCAAATTTGAAACTGTATTTTGCAGCCTCTTGTCTTGTTTGGTTAAACAGAACTTATTTTCAAGTTTGCGATCTTCCATTCCCTTCAACATGCATGTGCTAGATATCTTCAAATGAGCCCATGTGTGTGATAAACCTCTGAAGAAAGCTTGGCAGAAAATTCAAAGAATGGCAAATTACGCTTTTAGAAATCTAATTAGTATATAATACTATTCTTGCAAATTTGGACACATTTTTTTTTTGTACTGATTCCTTGTGGGAGTCAATTCATTCCTTTTTGTCCCCTCTTCCATCTTCCAGTATCTTACTATATTAGCTTTTGTCCTGTATTATTTAATATTTCCAGATAAGCAGTTTTGAAAGACCTGTCCATTAGCAGGAAGCTCTAATGAGTCAAAGCTGATATGTTCTTGCAAAATGCAACAAAACTCATGAATCAAGCCTGGTGAATTTTCTTGAAATCTGCCCTTGGAGCCACTAATGTGGGCTCTAACCCAAACAAGGGCAATTTGGGAGGACAAGACTAATACACAACAGTGTTGAAATAATTTTCTGAGAAAATAATCTTATCAAGGAATGGGGAATGATCTTGTTTTGGAGAGCCAAAATTAGCAGTAAGTTTTTTTCTTTTCCTATTTTGAAACAATATAGTAGATCTGGCAAAAAAAAGAGTTGTTTTGAACACATTCTTGAGGTTGAACAATTGGAAAACCTACTAGGTTGAACTCTAGAGCTTAAGAACCAATGATCCAGTTTTGCTGAGACCTTAGAAGCTGTGCAGAGAAGAGCAACAAAGATGAAGAAGATGGAAGCTAAATTATATGATGAACAGTTGAAGGAGCTGGGTATGCTTAACCTATCAAGGAAAAGGATTAAGGGGGACTGTCGACCAGTACTTGAAAGGCTGTCACAGAGAAGAGGGAATTGACTTTTTCTCCAAAGCTCCAGAGGACAGGATAAGAAGCAATGGGTAGAAGATCATTAAATAGAGATCCAGCCTAGAAGCAAAGAGAAATTGTTCTCACAGTGAGAACAATTAACCAATGGAATAGCTTGCCTCCCAGAGTTGTGGGTATTCCATCACTGAAGAATAGACTGGACAAACATTTAAACTGGGATGGTGTAACGTCGCTTGCCTTGGACTAACTAGAAGATCACTAAGGTCCCTTCCAGCCCTATGATTTTATGTTCTATGTTTATATATTGTGCTAAACTGTGATTTGTTTTCCTATGGTTCTTCCAATTAGACTCAATGGCCTGGGTTCATATCACATGCTTAGCCAGAAGAAAACAATATTGTGACTTAGTGAGTGTGTAAACCCAGTCAAACCTTTGCTATATTACTTATTCAGTGACACAGATCGCTTTCAATATTTTTTTTCCCAGTTTCCTCTTGTATGATAGATCCCCATTTGTGCTCTTCCACTTCAGGCTAAAGCTACAAGGACAATATCACTGGCTTACCATTTTTTTACTCCCACCAAAAAAAAAAAAAAAAAAAAAAAAAGCTAAAACTCTCACCTAAATGTCTAAACTATGCTGGCTCAGAAATTCTGGGAGTTGAAGTCCACGAGTCATAAAAGAGCCAAGGTTGCCTACCCCTGATCTAAGCTGATTAATGAATTAACCCTCTGTCTACACTAGCCCATAAACCAACCAAACACAACACATTAAAATGCAAAAAAAAAAAAGAAAGAAAGGAAAATCCTAATACAGAGAAAATTCAACCAAGATGAGCATAGACAGGGCTCTATCATACAAGTGGAAAGCACATTTAGCATGTTGAATGGGTGGAGTTGCTGGATGTTTAACTTACATGTTTGAACACATCTGGCACACACAACCACCTCAAGAATTCCGTTGGGCGAAGTTAAAGAGGTTGTAGACAATGCAATAGATCCATTTTTTCCTACAAAAAATAGTAGAACAGAACTGAGCAATGCTTTGATCACACGTAGCCCCTATACTAATGTTTAATACTCCTAAATTCACTCTCCAGAGATCACACAACTGGCATTCAAAGGCAGAATGCTGATTTGTTGCATGCTTTTCTGTCTCTTTATTTTACAGATTGAGTTCTAAAAGCAGTCACGCTGAGCTTATTCAACTTTTCCAACCCGTGACTTCTCTGTTAGGTAAAAAATCACTGTTAGGTAAAGACCTTCCATTCTGCACAATACCATCTCGTCAAGTTATGGGGTCATAGAGATAAAGAAACAAATAAATAACGGCCAATTAAAACTAAACGGGGGGAATTAGGACAAACCATAACTGAGGTTTGCAAGCAGCCTTCAGCTTTTCGGCCAATTAAGTGGTTCAGCCAATGTCCGCAGGAAAGAACTTACATCCCTGGGTAGAACTCATTTTCAAGTTGCTGCACTTTCAAAACACGCCAGAACTCCGCAAACACATTTGTTAAAGGCTGTCATTTATCACCCATGAAGGCTTGATTTTCAAACACACCTCAACTGGTGTTGCATCAGGGCTCGCTGGAGAACGTGGCCATCAATCATTTTGATGGATCCCAAACATGTGGGGGCTCTTGCCCTAAATCGTTTTTTTTTTTTAAAAAAAATAACAATTAGCAGCTCCAGGAAAGGGACACGTTTTTTGCCGATGTCACCCTTCTGACTGGCAAACGCAGGGAAGGCAGTGGATAACTGCTTCATTAACTCTTGTAGCATCAGAAAGAAGCAGCGAGGGGATATTTACAGGGCAATAAATGGGAAGCAGAAATCTGGATGAAAAACAAGCAAATGACACATGTTAACAGGCCAGGCTTTGCTCACCTTAATGCAGAACTGATCCTTTATTATCAGAGATGCTTCTTTTGTTCAGAAATATGGCTGGGTTTTCAGCTAGGTTAACAAGACTTTTTTGCACAAGGACCAAGTAAATTTTAAAATGGTCCAAATCTTGAGAGATTTTGGGGATCTCATTTTCAAGGTCTTGAATGATGATCTTGCAAGAATATAGCTAGTTAGTCCTCGACTTACAGCAGTTCATTTAGTGACCGTTCAAAGTTACAAAGGCACTGAAAAAGTAACTGATGA